CTTTACATATGATAGCTGTATAGGAAATCCTTATGTTTGCATCATGAAGAGTTGATAAAATGGAGTTAACGGGTATTGTATATACTTGATGTAATGTAAAAACCGTGTGATAGCTAAGAGTTCTCCCCAGACTCTAGGGGAAGGAGAATCACACCTTCCTATGGTGTCCCAGAGTTCCTGCATGTCTCCTTCATGGTTTTTTTTTTGAGACATGGTTTCTCTGTGTTGTAGACCAAGCCAGCCTTAAACTCACAGAGATCTGCCTGCCTCTGCCTCACGAGTGCTGGGATTAAAGGTGTGTGCCACCACCACCCAGCCTCCTTAGTGGTCAGCCCATCCCCCCCAACCCCATCCACCCTTCCTTGTTCTTTTAGAGTGAACATTTCCACTGTCTGAGTGATCCAGTTCCTCTCCCTTGTCTTTTGGACCTGATAATCTCTCTTCCCCTCAGTCCAATCTGTTGCTGAGGCTCTCCATTGAGTCTCACTTTAATTCAGTATTTGACTTACTGAATTTTTCATTTCAAGCTATATTTCAGTTTGGCTTTTCTTTGGAAAGTCTATCTCTTTATTAAATCACATTTTCATATCTCAAAGCATTTTCATTGTTTCATCCATGTGTTTACATCTTTTGAAGTCTCCATTCTGGCACTCATTCGTATCCTCTGAGTTCCTTGGACAAATGTGTTATTGTTGCTTTCAGGATGTATGTATTATTGTTAATATCTAAGTTGCTTTTCTCGGGGCACATTAGTATGGGAGCACTTTTTTTTTTTTTTGAAGAGACCTTTAGTCTTGGTTGTTTGTGTTGCTTGTGTCTTTGCAATGAAAGCAAGTCATCTGAAGGTGCTTCTTGGTATGGCTATCTGGTCCTACCTTTGTTGAGTGGGGGTTTGGATCTGTTTGTTGTCAGATTATGACAACAAATGGGATATGATATACAAATGGGATGTCAGAAGGTCCTGCCTCAGCTAAGTGAGCTTCTGAGCCCAGGTCAGACCCTCTATGGAGTTAGAAGATTCTCACTGCTGATCCTCAGACTCTGTGGACAGCTCACCAGGCTGGACAGCTCTACAGGTGACAGGGTTTAGGCAGGGTCTTGGCAGGTGTGGGTGTTGCTACCTGGGGAGGTGCATAGGACTCTAGTCTTCGGGGATGTGTGTGTGTGTGTGTGTGTGTGTGTGTGTGTGTGTGTAGGTGGGGGTTGCTGAGAATTGGGAGTCCTTACCTGGAAGAAGGAGAGTATGGGGCAGGCAATCCTCAGGCAGGATCACACCTTTCAATGTGGAGAACGTGAGTGAATTTATGAGAAAAGCTTGAGGAATGGAAGATGCTATTCTGATCATCTAAGGAAACTATGGTATTTTACAAACCATACTTCTAATTTCTATGGATTTTTCTTCTCATTCTCTGATGGAATCTTTCTAGAGTGGCATCCTAATCCCCAGTCGTGAGTTTGTGAATCTTTATTATGGTATAGTAGCCATGACAGACTCTGACCACATCAGCATACTGACTTGCTTCTGTTACATGACAGGTTCTCAAGGTTCCTCTTAGTGTGGTTGGTCTGCTGCAGCAGTGCCCCATAGGGTGGATCACAGTATGGAAGAGAAATGTATTTCTCATAGCTATCTCGGTGGGAAAACTCTCAGGTCAAGGTGCTGCCGGACTAGAGGACTTAGAAGACTGGCTCGATGGCTTACAGGAAACTGGCTTTTCCCTGTGTTCTCACATGGTGTGGGGAGGAGGTGGCTCTCTGGAATCTCTGTTAGACAACACTGGTCGAGTTCATAGCATGAGGTGACCTTGTCACCTAACAAAGACCACACAACACACAGATCATCAGATTTTGACTTGGTTTCAAGACATGACTTTGTGGGGTCAGCAACCGTTCAGTCTGTATCAGTTCCCATGGGAAGAAATTGGGCGAAATTTATAATAGAGCTCTTTATTGTTCCTTGCAGAAGCAAATGCAATTACCTCAAAATAAAAGGTTCAATTAGGAATGTTTTTAAAATTGTATTATTTTATTTTCCTTTGGTTGTCACTGTTCTTTTAAGTTTTTTTTTCTTTTTTGTTTTTTGTTTATTGTTGTTGTTGTTTGGTTTTACTCTGACACAGGTCTCTCTAAGTAGCCCTGGCTATCCTAGAACTCACTAAGTATACCAAGCTGATCTCAAACTCACTGAGATCTGACTGGCTCTCTAGTATTGGAATAAAAGGGTGTTCCACCACACCTAACTTCTTTTTCCCCAGTTTATTTTTGTCTTCCTTTAGTATCTGTCGTTTATTGGGGCAAGTTTTTGTCATCTGTCTTGTGATATGCAGTTAAATATTAGTATTTCAAATCAAAGTACTTAGATGCTTGCTGGAAGCCCTGTGTGAGAGCAGGGCTTGGCACATGGAGGTATCCCCAGCCCATCAGGTTGGGCGTTTTCTCAGAAACTTCCTGAATGAAAATTTGGAATGGTGGAATCCTGGAAACTGGCCTGTTGGGGCTTTTTAGCATCTCTAAACAAAGTTCTTCAGGATTGATGAAGTAGCTCCCATGGTGGAGTGCTTATCTAGCAGGCATGAAGCTCTGATTTAATCCCTCACACTTTATACACCAAGCATGGTAGCCTCTTTCTATAACCCAAGCATTCTGGAGGTGAAGGCAGGAGGTAGAAGTATAAGGTTATCCTTAGGAACATAGAGAGTTCTATGTCCTTTCATAATACATGAGATCCTGATGATGATGGTGGTGGTGGTGGTGATGATACCATAGTAATATCTTTCTGATGTCCTGTTAGAGCTTTAATCTAGGAGTTCTGCAGCATCAGCGTGAGGACTAGGAGGGAGACCCTCCCTTGGCCTGAATGAACTCTCAGCAGCTGACCTTAGATTTCCTTGGTCCTCTCAGTTTGCCATGCTATGTGTTAGCTTCACCAGGCATTTGAGCTGGTGACCCCTGTTGTCCACAGTAGTGTTTGATTCTCATGATCAGGACTTCTTATTCAAGACAATTGTGTCTCTTCTGTTGTCTTGGGTACCACATGCAGACTCTGTTGTTTGGCCTGGGAGAAAGGCTAGTCATTCCACTTTCCTTTTCTGTACAGACTGGGGTGACCACAATGGGGACCAACTGGGTCCTAGGAGAATTCTACTGAGGTAGTTCTAGGGAATTTTCTCCCCCAAAACACACACACACACACACACACACACACACACACACACACACACACACACGAGAGAGAGAGAGAGAGAGAGAGAGAGAGAGAGAGAGAGAATAATTTTCATGCTTTTTCCATTTATTTTGTCTTGCTAAATATCTCAAATGTGAAGATGAAGATGTGACATCCGGAGCTCTGGCAGCCACATTCAGCATGAGAGGAAATTTAAGGCATCACCAAGAATACAATACTGAACCATAACTTTTTTTTTGTTGTTTTTTTGGTTTTTCAAGACAGGTTTTCTCTATATTTTAGAGCCTGGCCTGGAACTCGCTAGTAGACCAGGCTGGCCTTGAACTCACAGAGATCCGCCTGCCTCTACCTCCTGAGTGCTGAGATTAAAGGCGTGCGCCACCAAAGGCCAGCCATAACATTTTTTGATGTGCTGAATTAACCAACTCGAAGGTGCTTATCCTGGTCTTCTATCTGAGACAGCAGTTTCCTCCTCATTTGAGATGCTGACATTAGATTAGTCAGCTGCTGGCCAACAAAGACACCTCATTGATACTGAGTTCAGAGGAGATGGCCAGTGTTTTCTGGACAATTCATGACCCTACACACAACCCAGTGCAGAAGTCACACAGTAAACACACATTTGGGGGGGGTTATCATACAAGAGTGAGGCTAGAAGATTTGCCCAGAATGGTGGAGTTAGGAGGTTGTGACAAAGAAAACGACTGGAGGACCACACACCCTGCACCTGGAGAAGAGGCGATCTGGAGGATGTGAACGAAATGTCACCAGACATTTAAGTCTTTAGTGTGAAGGGAGAACCTGTGTGAGGTGACAGGGATCACACAAGTCCATGCTGCCCCCTCTCTAGCCTAGATCTTGGCTGTGAATATGAGTGAATGTGTGAGGGAGAAACGGGGAGGAAGAAGCAGACAGGGCAGACCTGGGCTGCCATCATGGTGCTGAGAGAAACCAGGAGGGATCTGTGACTTCCATGTCTCGGCTGGAATGGTGCTGGAAGGGAGGGGGAAAGTTCCTGCATCATGGTCTAAACTTAGCATCACCTTATGCTGTGGCTTTTGCAAAATGTTGTATATCCCACAGTGAATAAGTGTACAGAAATAAAGTTACAACAAAACCAGGTACCAGAAGGTTAGGAAAAAAAAAAAAAAACAGAAACACCTGCCCCTGCCAGATGCAGCTGGAGGCACCAGGAGATTTTTGGAGGAATGCTCCATGTCCCCAGGCCCTCTCAAAGCTCTCACCCCAGCTGGGAGGTCATATCTGTGCCTCTCAACTTGAGGTCAGTACCAGTTGCTTTCACTTCGACCAGATCACCAGATCCTGAGCTTTCTTATCTGTAATATTTTCAGAGAAAATATGGAAATATCTAATGGTGCCTGACACAGGAGTAGTTGACCAAGACATATTACTGCAGTCTGATTTATTGGTGTGTGTGCAAGTGTGTGTTCATGTGGAGATTCGAGGGTGAGCTCAGCAATTGTTCCTCAGATACTATCTTCAAGGTTTTTTTTTTTTTTTTTCCTTTTAAACAGTGTCTCTTATTGTTCTTCAAATTACCAAGGTTGGCTGGCCAGTGATCCCCAGGGTCTCCTGTCTCCAGCTCTCCAGCTTTGGGGTTACAAGCAGGCCCTGCTATGCCTGGGATTTTGCATGGGAGTTCTGTGGATCAAATTGAGGTCTCTGTGTTCTCAAGACAAATGCTTCACCAGCTGGGCTTTCTCCCTAGTCCTGGCCATTCTGTGTAAGGACATTCCTCTGCTTTTCTCCCAGCGCAGCCAAGTCCAGAGAAATCTGGGATTGAAAGCCGACCTACTTAAAGTTCATCCCTTTTACTAAGCACTAAGTACTTTGCTAGTCTCTTCATGGCCGTCTGCATCTCCTGGTTCCTGAGGGTGTAGATCATGGGGTTGAGCATCGGGGTCAGGACTGTGTAGCTGATGGACACAGCCTTGTCCAAGGGGAAGGGGGTGAAGGGCCGAGAGTAGATGTAGATGCAGAGAATGAAGATCATGGACACCACAATGACGTGGGTGGTACAGGTGGAGGCCGCCTTCCTCCTCGCCTGCCCCGAGTGGGACCTCAGCATCACCAGGATGACAGTGTAAGAGACGAGAAGGAGGAGGAACCAGATGAGGACCAGCATCCCACTGTTGGAGATCATGAGGAACTCCAGGAGGGAGGTGTCTGTGCAGGCCAGTCTCAGCACTTGGGGGACATCACAGTAGAAGTTATCCAGGACGTTGGGGCCACAGAAGGGCAGTGGGAGCATCAGAGACAGCTGGACAATGGAATGGAGAAACCCTCCTACCCAGGCAGCCACCACCAGCCCCACGCACAGCCTGGTGTTCATGATGGAGACATAGTGGAGGGGCCGGGAGATGGCTATGTAGCGGTCATAGGCCATCACGGAGAGGAAGAAGACAGTGCCGCCTCCCAGGAGGTGGAAGAAGAAGATCTGAGCCATGCATCCCTGGTAGGAGATGGTCTTGATCTCGTGAAAGAAGTCAACCAGCATCTTTGGGCAGGTGACTGTGGAATAGCTGAGGTCTATGACAGCCAGATTGCGGAGCAGGAAGTACATAGGCATGTCCAGCCGGGGATCAAAGGTCACAGTGACCATGATAAGAATGTTTCCCACAACAGTGGTGATGTAGACAAACAGAAACACCACAAACAAGAGCTTTTGGAGTTCTTGAGTCTGTGAGAACCCTAACAGGATAAATTCTGACACCCACGTCATGTTCTGGGGTTCCATGGGGCTCTCCCCATGTGCTTAGAGAGAGATGATACAAAGTAAAAGATTGTGAATTCAGTCAGGTTTTTTGTTTGTTTGCTTGCTTTGAAGGATCAGGACTGATTGGTCAAAGCGATTTCAAGGTATGGCGTGGCAGAGCTTCCTGGGACGTTGCCAAGTTCCAGCAGGATTAGCTCCCTGGCCACATCTGGCATTGTTTCATAGACATCAATAAGTAAGCTCCCTGCTCCCCTGGGCCACAATGTCTTTGGGCAATGGTTTACTGCTAATTCTTTTTTCATATCTCCAGGCTTCAACACATGACCTTGTGAAATCTAGTTTTCACAAATCTGCTTGAACCACCTGGTGAGTGAATAAGCATATCATTGCATACCTGGCACCACAGGCCCACCCACCTACGTGCATAAATCATGAGAGGGTACAGGGACTAAGAACTTGAGGTAAACAGACATTTAATGGAGGAATTGGGGTGGGGGGATGTACAGGCTTCATGGCTGAAGAAAGAGAAGTGTGTGCTATAGGTGAGCGTGGCGCACACAGACACACACGGAGGAAGAGACAAGCAGATGATCTTGAATAGTGAGCTGGAGTGATTCACACTGCTTATATTTCTCTGCCTCTGCGGTTCTCTAATGGCATGTGTGTTTTTGTTGTTGAGTAACTTAATCTCAAGACAAATAGTAATTTCCCTGAAACTCTCATACTAAGTATTTAAATGTTATGCAAATATTCTATAGACATATCATGCTGAGCAATCTTTGTGACATTTTACAAATTTAAGTATGGGGGCTGAAGAGATGACTAAGCAGTTAAAAGCACTTGCTGCTCGTACAAAGGACCAAATTTAGTTCCCAGGCCCCATGTCCAGTAGCTTACAACTGCCTGTAGGGCCAGGGGATTTGATTTCTTTCTCTGGCCTCTTTAGGGACTGCATTCACATGTACAAATTCACACAGAGACATAATTACAAGCAAAATTTAAGTATGGTGAGTAGTAGAAAGTATAAAATAGAGTTCTCCATAATATTAACTACATCCATGGGCAGTGGTGCACGCCTTTAATGCCAGCACTCAGGAGGCAGAGGCAGGCGGATCTCTGAGTTCAAGGCCAGCCTGGTCTACAGAGTGAGTTCCAAGACAGACAGAGCCACATAGTGAAGAGATCCTATCTTGAAGAAGAGGAAGACGAAGAAGAAGAAAGAAGAAGGGAGGGACGGAGGGAGGGACTCTGGGCAACTGAAAGTCCCTATGCTCATCTGTGGGAGTGATGTGGTGAAACAGGATTAGAATGGGTTTGTTGTAGCAAGCCAAGAAAGGAAGCCTGATGACCTAAGATTGACACCAGGAAGCTATATGAAGTTAGGAGAGAACTGACTTCCACCAAGTCATGTCCTCTGACCACGTGTGTGATGGCAGGCATGCAGCCCACACAGATACATCACACACACGTACACACACACACACCACACTCACACACCACACTCACTCATACACACTACAGACAGAGATAAAATAAAATTTAAAGAAATAAGACAAGGGGCTGGAGAGATGGCTCAGAGATTAAGAGCAGTGACTGTTCTTCCAGAGGTCCTGAGTTCAATTCCCGGCAACCACGTGGTGGCTCACAACCACCTTGGGTGTGATCTGGTGCCCTCTGCTGGCATGCAAGCAGAAGACTGTACACATAATAAATAAAGTCTTTTTTAAAAAAAGAAAGAAAGAAATAAGACGAACACACTAGTAAGAGAAACCACCCAGTGGAGAAGCTGCCTCTGCTGCAAGCACAACAACCAGAATTTAGAGCCTCAGGACCCAGAGTGACTGAGAAAGACACCCAATGTCAACCTCTGGCCTCCACACTCATGTGCACACCACACATGCATTTTTATTAAATATGAAAGACACCAGAGGTTCTCTAATGTTGGTATTTATATTTTTGTAGTATTTGGGGTTTTTACATTAAATAGACTACACATAAATCATGATAAAAAGAGAGATTTGAAAATACACTACACATGAGGGAATCCTAGATAAGGTAGTAGGCAACTATTATCCAGTGCTCCTAGATATAATAAATAGGATTTACTTACAATGTACCAGAGCCACAAAGCTCATAGAAGACAATGAACACCATTGCTGTCATCACCCCACTCCCAAGTACCAAGCAACACTTTCAGCAATTTACCTGCTAGCGTAGAATCCCAATCTGTTCCTGAGAACAAATTATGATGACCAGGGATGTGACAGACTCCAAGTCCTGATGCCACCTGGATGCCACCAAAGTCTAAAATATTGAGAGATTCAACTTTTGTCTTTTAAAAATTCAACTCTTGTCCTCTAAGAAATATTCAGTGCTTCTTATTACCTATGGGAAAATACTTAATATTTACCTATAATGCACCAACCACCTAAGAAATTATAATTTAATTATATAAGAAGAAATTCATTTCTTGGATTATCATACTGACAGGGTAAGTTTTAAAGCTTGGACTCCTCAACACTCTGAGAGTTTAGGAAAACAGAAATCACTGTTCCTAACCATTCTGAAGACAATGAAATATATACTATCTCTCCAAGTATTTGTTAGAACAATAAAATCTTATTCTTAAAATGTATATTGAAGGCTGGGCCATGGTGGTGCATGCCTTTAGTCCCAGCACTTGGGAGGCAGAGACAGGCCTCAAACTCTGTGAGTTTGAGACCACCCTGATCTACAAGAGTAGTTCCAGGACAGGCTCCAAAGCAATACACAGAAACCCTGTCTTAAAAAATATATATATTGAAGTATATTTGCACACAGAATTCTTATACTATCAATAAACCAGAAGCAATGTAAACAAACAAGTACAACATATTACTTAAATGTAAAACATGACATTTCCATGTGATGAAATTCTAGCTGTAATCAAGCACACATTCTAAAATGACATTTGATTATATTGGATTTTATTGTATTGTGTTTTGGTGTTATTTTAAAGAGATAATTACAAAACATTTTTAGCATTTTGGAGTTGAGTCAGGATCTCACTATGAAGCTCTGGCCTGAAGGTAAATCAGTCTAGCATCAAAACTTGGGGCGATCTTCCTGTCCCCTCAGTGCTGGGTTTGCAAGAAGGGACCACCACACTTGCCTGACATTTTGTTAAAATGTTAGAAAGGCAGAGAAAAAAGATGAAAATGAAAGATCAAAAGCCAGGTGGAGGTGGCACACGCCTTTAATCCCAGCATTCGGGAGGCAGAGGTGGGCAGATCTCTGTGAGTTCGAGGCCAGCCTGGTCTATAGAGCAAGTTCCAGGACTCCAAAGCCACAGAGAAACCCTGTCTCAGAAAACAAGAAGAAGAAGAAGAAGAAGAAGAAGAAGAAGAAGAAGAAGGTGGTCAAAGTGCTAACTGTGGAAGCTAGTGTTTATATCCAGTTGTCATAGTTTAAAAATGGTCAGGAGATTTCCACTGAGCAAAAGAAATATTACAATAAGAAAACAAAGGGAGCAAAGAGGAGAACTGAAGCCTTCTAGTTGTAGTTCAACACCATCCCTGTGTGCTGAGCCTTGTCCTGGGTAAAGATAGCCTTGAGTGTAGGAAGGGGAACCCTCAGAACACCAACAGGAAAAGAGGAGGGAGAGGGGAGGAGGGAAGAGGGGAGGGGGAGAAGAGAAGAGAGAAGTATGTGTGTAAGAGAGCCACCCCTCCCGCAAGCTCTGTGAAAAGAAAACAAAAAAAAAAAAAAAAACAGCAAGTCTCCTTTGCACAACAACCCAACCCTGATCCTGGTGACAGGCTCTGGTTCACACTTCCCAAGGTCACCTTAATGGCTGCAGCCAGCCAGCAACCATGTGTCCTTTCTCCTAGAAGCCCTGCTCCATGAGACCCTCCCTGTCCTGTCAGTCTGTGCTCATTCTCACTCCTTTACTTGAAAGCCCCATTCATCTCTGGCTCTCTGGTCTCCTAGCCCCTCACCTAGCCAGGCTTCTTTCCTTCCTTTGAAATCACTGGCCAGTTACCTCCTACCCGACTCACTGCTCTGGGCTCCCAAGAGGGTTCTTGCCTCCGAATTGTGCTCCATTTTAATCAACACTGTGGTGTCTAGTATGTCACCAACTTTTCAAGAGATACCTCCCTCCATCTAATTCAAAATGTTTTCAAAAGAATTCCAAGACCTTCAAAGTTGCGAAAGAATTGCAGTTGTGTACAGGGAAGGACTGACATTTGGGTAGAGTTCCAGGAATGTCCTCAAACCTATTCTAGAGAGCATTCCATTTTTCTAGAATAATCCACCACTTAGTAGCAATCACCATCATTTATTGTCATGGTAATACTCACCAGTATTTATTGACTGGGTGTCTCCTGCGTGCTAAGCACTACGCTAAATATTTCAGACACATTCTCTTACGTAATGCTTAAAGTGTATAGGAAAGACAGTGACTTATCTCTCTACCCATAAGCAAACTGAAGCTTACAGAGTGTAAATAACCACCCAGATCACACCAAGAATGATGAGCAGAGCCAGGTCTGATTGGCCCCAGAATCTGCACTACCATTCTCTTGGTCCTTGCTTTCCTCCAAAAAAAGCCTCAGTGTCAACCAAACTGAACCAAGGTCCCTCAGGTGACAGGGCCCCATGTGGATGCTGCTTGGTCCTGCTCAGCCATCTGAATCCCACACTTCTCTGAAGGTGCAGGAGTTGCTAGGTCTTCTAGAACATTGTCATGTGTCAGTATTTTTCCATAAGGATGTCTCTGTTACTCAGGTGTTATAATCTCAGCATAAGGTCAATATGCCAGCTACCCTTGGTGCCCAGTGCACACACCCTCTCAGATAAATGACTCCTAAGAGATTACTTGTTCTGTGGTGACAGGAGCATTGAATTGGGCCAAACCCCTGGCAGCTGAGGAATGGGGAAACAGCTCTGGATGAAGAGACCTGGAAAGGCATGCAAGGGTCCTAATTCCTAACACAGAGGTATTTAGGCAAGCAATCTTTGCCTTTGCAAAGTCAGTGTTT